CCTTATCTCTCCTTACTTATTAAAAATTCAAAAAGCTATTTTTTTAATAATCTAATGTTATTTTCAATCAAGCCTAGGGCATAGTTATACTAAAAAAATATTATTTTAAGCCGATTCATTTCATTGTCACAATGGTCTATATCGGCTAGTCTTATGCTCCGACTATTCATAGATTTTAAAACTCAAACCTTTGTTTTGTAACTGTGATTGGAGAAAAAGTTAAGTATAAAGCCAGCATATGTTGGGTTTCTATATATATCCCTGCCTAACCTCTTACCTGGTCTGATCACAAACATCTAAAAAGGATAAATTATTGCCTTTGTCTATCTCCATTGCTAACATAAAATTGCAGTCAATCTGGTTAATCTAAACTATCCTTGCCATCCTGCCGTATAGCAAAGTAGTCAGGTTGTTTGACCTTGTTTTCGCAACTTTGTCATATTGGTAAGAAGACTTAGAGGAAGACACCTAGTCTGGAGTTCATTGCATGCATGATAATTTCCAAGATCAGATCGTGGACGTGGTACATTCACAGACGTTTCGCCGGCATCGTACTCGACATCGGCAATGGGTCTCGCCATTCTTAGCACCACACAACAACTCGTCAAAGAGACAAGTGAAGCCGATCCTTTGACTAAACGTGTGCTGAACAGTTGTGGTATCTCCCATTCTGTCCTGGGCTATTCACATTTCCTATATCCTTCTACCAAACCTTCACTGTTACCATTTTTACCGTACTTATTTCGATGTGGTGTGGTGTGCTCCTTTGAGCGACATTCATGAAAATCCTTAACACTTAACGCTGTCATTTCACCCCCTTCCCCCTTGTGTTGGGAATGTTGATAAGAGTCTGCCATATTGTTACACAGTCCTCCTTCCCTATGTATTATCACAGCCTCTCTCTTGCCCCGTAAGATCCGTCTGCTCTCTCTCTCTCTTTGGTTCACGAATTTCACTCGACCCCTGCCACCCAATCTGTGTTACTCGAGGCGTTATTTGCTCTCCCCTGCATATGGGTTCCTAATTCGAGGCTAAAGCTTCTAAGTAAGCCATCGATACATGGAGCACGTCTATGGTAAAAACAGACATACTTTCAGCCAACTTGCTCCAGTCTCCGTAGCGTCTATCCTGTTTATATCCCTAATACCAAGTCCATGACATGCCCTCCGCTAGTCTCTTGTGTGGTTTCCCACAAATGTTGTGGTACAGCTTGCTTTTATTAGTTTCAATGTTGAACCAGAAAGTTTGTGGGTTGGCCCACAAGAGACTAGTGGAAGGCATGTCATAGACTTAGTATTATAGATCGATACATTTTCCAGTAAGCCCAATCCACATCTGGTCAAGAGGAATCCGCCATCGTCTTCTGGTGGAATCGACCTTCGAATCTCTTCACCAAAGATTTTCACTCGAAATGGAAGTAAGCTCAACAATTTTTTACCATATACGTGGTCCATGAAGCACAGGCTTGATCATGAGAATTATTCAGAGGCTTTAGCCTTAAGTTAGTCTACCAGAGGTAGAATTTGGGAAAGAACACCTCAAATAGCAAAAATGGGTTGGCAGGGGTCGAGTGAAACGTATAAACCAGGGAGATAGCAGACGAATCCTACGGGGCAAGAGGAAGATTCTGATAAGATCTATTAAAGGAGGACTGCGTAACAATAGGGCAGACTCTGATCAACATTCCCAGCACAAGGGTCAAGGGGGGTGAGAACGCCAGTGCGGAGTGCGGAGGGTTCTCATGAAAGCCGCTTAAAAGGTCACACAACACTAGATTTAAATAAGCAAGGGAAGAAATTTTAACAGTGACGGTGTGATAGGAGGATATAGGAAATGTGAATTGCCCAGGGCAGAAGGGAAGATACCACAACTGTTTTTCACACGTTTGGTCAAAGGATCGGCTTCACTTGTCTCTGACAGGTTGTTGTGTGGTGCTAAGAATGGCGAGACTCACTGACGATGCTGACTACGATGCCGGCGAAACGTCTGGGAATCTATCACGTCCACGATCCGACCTTGGAAATGATCATACATACAATGAACTCCAGACTAGGTGCGTTTCTCTAAGTCTTCTTACCAATATGACAGTTTCGAAAACAAGGTCAAACAACCTCTATACAACGAAAGGAGACTGCGACCACACAAAAGGCCACACCATCTTGTTCTTCATATCTTCGATTAAACCATAGTTCTAAATGAATAAAAGACAATAATATGTAAAAAATGGCTATACAAATAAAGGAAGAGCTGAGCAGTTTAATGCCGAAAAATGAAAAATATGTTTACCAGATATTTCCTTCATCTCCCAGTTTCCTTGTTCAGTCTGCGTCCATTTCACCTGCGCTGTTATGATACCTGTTACTTTGTCCTCCTTATTACCGACAAATTCTTTAGTGACGACGTTGAAATTACGTGGATCTCTGCCAAAATGAAGTTTAACTTCTTCGTATCCATAGTCAACTCGCCAGACGTGTGGCCATTTTGGCCAAGGATTTGAAGTATAATCCCTAGTTGGTGGAGGTGGCGGAAGAATCTCTAACGTTGTCACACTTTTTGCACCCTTTTGTAAGTTTGAATAAATAAAAAACAAGAGATAAGCCAATATAGAACATATAATACAGTTTTATAAGAGCCTACTGAAATTTGTTTTAAAAATCCAGCTGCCTAATAATTCGAACACTGTATCCTTTAAGATTATAGCCACATAGACTACCAACATGAAACCGTTGGTCAGGCACATTCTCAGATGATTTGTAGGCTTCGAAGTCAAGAGGTAACTAAGAAGAGACGTTGGAAACCAAAACAAATCCTCAAAATACCAAACGAATTCAATTTCACTAAATGCTTATAATAGTTATTTGCCCTATTTAATCTATCCTCCCCTATCCCTAACTATCATTCTGTTATACCAACGAAATAAAGTTGAAACTCATCTCTCTTCCTGGATCAAAACCCTTATTTATACCGAGAAACTTGAAGCATGTACTGCTGGAGTGAGTCTATCGAAAGAGTCAGATTCAATATAGCTCCCAAACTCACATCAGACAGGCTTATTGAATAAATATTTATACAAAATGGGGTCTAGAAGAGTGCCTTTAATATTCTTTAAAGAGGCGAGTGGAAAAAATCGTAATTAGGCCTATCCGGAAAATGTAGGGTTGATTGCCTAGGTGTTGTGACTGCGGATTTGTGTAAATAGGTCTCCGGCTCGCCACCCTACGACCCCGATGAATCCTTATTAAGCGTTCGTCTTTTCCTTCGTCTGATGGATGTTTCGTAAAGCATTTTATCATTCATATCATATGTCTGTCAAATAAAAAACGTAAGGGAGGGGTATGCCGATGACCTATTCGCACAAATCTACAGTCATAGCTTCTAGACAATCCCCATACAACTTCCTGTGAGGCCAACTTACGAATCCCTTCCACTCTCAGCTCCAAGCGAAATCAAACGTATATGAGATATATTCAACATATTTCGACTAAAGCAATAAAGGACTGGTAATTGAATTTTCCCACAATGATATAAATAAGGTTGACGTATCCATTGAATTTCACATAGCCTTGCTTTCCCAAAAAGGTATCCATGGTGGACTGCAATTTATACCTCGTCTAGGTCTTATCAACACCCCTAGCCGGAGTCGAATTATGACAGTACAGCGTGTAGTCTCGACACGTTGACCATTACACCCCATTGCCACGAGTGCCTCTTGGTCACAAAGCAAATGTGAAGTTCAAGGAAGGCCATTTCCTGAAAAATATTCTTTGTTAGGATTGTCGATGAAGCAAAGTCATATTTGCTATGATAATTAACTACTTTACTTGATCTTCGTTCATAAGTAGGGTTATGAACGAAACCAAAGGTACTCTAACATCAATCTATAAAAAGATTCTTCAAAACTCAATTTTTTATACATAATTACCCAATAAGCTTATCTAATGAAGTTTGGGAGCGATATTGAATCTGACTCTTTCGATAGACCCAATCCAGCAGTACATACCTGGTATAAATGAGGGTTTTGATCAAGGAAGAGTTTTGGCTTTATTTTGTTGGAATAACAGAGAATGTCAGTTATGGATAGGGCAGGATAAATGAAATAGAGCAAAGAACTATTATAAGCATCCATACACTAGTGCAATTGACTTCGTTTGGTGTTTAAAGGTTTTGTTTTGGCTTCTAATGGCTCTTCTTAAGTTGAGGCATATTATCCTCATTTCCAGATTTCGCAGGTATGTGCAAATATTTTTGAAAGTTTCAAAATTTAATCCATGCTCGTCAGCTTCTAAACGACTAGGCAAAGGTTTACATTTGAAACAGGAATTTTGTACAAAATGCTTTACTGAAGATGTATGTCAGAAATGACTAACGCCCATATGACAGACTCCCGTTTCAATTCGGAAAATATTCTCTTAACGTCAACCAGCCACTGAATTAGTTATGTAGTTGACGAAATCCAAGAAGTGAAATTATTTATGGTCGATTATAATAAAATCAAGTTAATTTTGCCTTTTTTTAGGCGGCTACAAAATGTTTCTTTTGCTGAAGTATGGAGTTATGACTCAAAGTAAGAGAAACGTTTTTAGTAAAGAGTAGCTATAACTGGTGAAGGCTTCAACGAAAAGTCAAGGCAATTACTTATGGCGCGAAGTGTGCAGATGAATAGAACGATCGAGCCAATGAAGGAAAATACACAGTTAAGAAGAAAAATCAAGAAAATGCAGACGATGGTCAGGTCTATCTTTGCCTGAATAA